TTAGGTTCACTACAAAATGAATAGGGATGGGTGGTATGGACCATAAGCTGTAGGACATCTGGTGGTGGCCTTAAGAGAGAAAGGAACCTGCCCTTTACAGAGGTGAGATCTAGTATGTATGTGAGACATGTTCTTTAAAGTGCCATGAAAGAGAAGGAAAACAACAAGACCTGCACAAGAAATAGAATTGAAGCACAGCAGTCATTGTGGTTTTGAGACAAAGTTAGAAACGTCAAACCACACAGAATTGAAAACAGCAAATGTTCAATTGTCTGACAATGCAGTGCCTCACGTCCTAATATGAAACAGATATTTATCAAAAAAGTCCTAATCTTTAGCACTTTGTTGAAAAAAAATATTAGGTTCTGTTTGATAAAAGTCAGCATTTGTGTTTACTTGATTAGCACAGTGAAGCAAATGTTACGCTTGTTACAAACACACAAATACAGGCACTTTTTGTGACAGACCATCACAAACTATAAACACAATATTTCAAAATGAAAAGTGAAGGGTGCATGAGCAATGACGGTTCTTCCTATTTCTTCCAATTCATAAGAGATGGACCTGGGAATCCCATAATGTATTTATCTGTTTGGTGTACAGCTAGACACAGAAATGGATTAAGGGCTGAAAATGGATGGATGGTTTACAGTTAAATTGTCAGTTACTATTTTTCTGTCCTCGCCTCAGCACATTCTCCTCCAACATGTACTGCACCGTATAACTGAAGGGTCTAGGCTAGGTTTAGAAATTGAGGTTTTTAACTCTCATACAAACCTGGTAGTGATACCATAATGAATAATGGACTCAATGCACATCCTACAAAAATGAACAATACTTTTTATAAACTTTGGCACAGACGTGGTCAACGCGTTCAGGCCAATAAAACTCAGATCAAGTCTCTTGATCTTTGATGGATACCTCTCTGTAGTTTCACTCCTTTTGTGTACTGAATGGTTTCGTTAGTTTTCTACACGTTTTGGATCAGGTTGTGAATCTTGCTCCCAAGCCACACAGTTAAGAGAGGTAGAGCCAGTCAGACCTCATGCTTTTACAATCCTGCACAAGGATATAGTCTAGGGAGCCAGTTATGACACTTCCAACGATGTTTCTTTCTTCAGTTTTAAGGAATCTGTAATTTCTAAATAATTTGAAATAGTACACACTGTGGACACCATGTTTGATGTTGTGAAAAAGTACACTGACAGGTTTCAGTCTGATTGTAGTGATAGGTAAATCATCTCGACATGATTGGCTGTGAGCAGCAGTCCAGGCGGTTCTTCTATTGCTCAGAGGAGGAGCGTCTGGGTGGCCAGGCGACCACTCACTTGTACAAAAAATAGCTCTTCTGTCACAATCTTATGAGCCGTCCACTTCAGGGATCATTGACCACCAACACGTCTCGTACTGAGCGGCTCTTGTGAAAGATCCAGCTGTGATTACAGCATCTTCTTTCTGATTAGATGCAGTGATGAAGGCCCCATCACAGTTCAGTCTGTGGGACTCCATATATTCTATTCCATATATTTCCACAATCTAGATATTATTTCAATTTAACCAAACAAGGTTCTTTAAGTTCAAGGCCACATTTTTATGTTGTCCTTTTCTATTTGTTTCAATTGTATATATTTTCCCCTCAATGGTGATGATCATTCTGTCGTCTCTCATGGATTCACATTTAGAGGCAAAGTCATTTCAGACCGAATCCCTTTAGAGAATGGATTATCTCAGGTTCTCTGAAGCAACCCATTTGTATTAATGGATTTTCTTTTCTTTCTTGTTTATATATATATATATATATATATATATATATATAAAACAGGCTCTAAATACTATTCTTTAGCTATATTCAATAAAATGGGTTCAAAATGTGCAGCTTTTATTCTCCTACTTGCTTAAATTTATATTGTCCTGGAGTAAGCGTGTAATCATTCATAACATTATAAACCTTATAGCAGCCTGGCTGTCCTTTCATATCTCTAAATACATAAAGTCGTCATATTCCTTCCAACTTTGTGGCTCACAGTAGCTCTCTCCTAATCATTATCTGTCAAATGTGCTGCAATGTTTTGGACGAGTCAGGTGTTTCTGCTGCTAGACTTAAACTGTGTCGCTGACATATACTGGATAGTTGGATAATCTCTGTGAAATGAATCTTGTCGATGCAGGCTGCCACCTGCTGAGTAACTGTAAAATGGAGCAGTCACAGTGATACATGAGCGAGGACTGCCGTACTGTAGCTCATATACCATCTATGTGCTATGAATCATGGGAGTGTCTCGATGAGCTCACGTCGCTCCTGCTGCTGATGCACTGCTGTAGGTGCAGGAACAAAAGACGATGAACTACCCATCCACAATCCGAGTTTATTGTAGACAATACAAAATACTGAACAATCCATTCAACGACAAAAGCAGGTAAACATGTCCGGTTAAATTACAGGGTACAAACTTGCATTACAGCCATTTTTTAAAGTTGAGCACCAAGAAAACATAAACGTGCACAAAAACAGAGATATACTATTGGTGTGACACAATCATGGACGGAATGATACAGTATGGCAAATAAGTGAAATGTCCCATTTTGGACGATTACTATTGTATTGAATCCATTTTAAACCGTCCAAAGAGACCAAATTGTATAAAGCCAATTCATCTAATAAATTCCATGTATTGGCCAGCTCTATTGCCAACCAATTCCAGAAATACATGACTTGTGCTGCTGTGAATGAGTTTTATGACTCCCAACAGAGCTATTAGTACTGCAGAAGAAAATTAAGAGATTAAGAAATTCTGAACGTTTGTCCAAACTTGTCCAATGGAATGGAGATGTTCTCAAGTTGCATCATTTTTGCATTGTTTTTGTTGAATCCGCTTGAAAATCCCATATTTACCGGAGTCTGGTTAATCAAATAAATAACCACTAATTAATTATCAAAATAATTGTCAATTACAGCCCTAAAAAAGGCACCAAGATTGCACTCCTTTGCTTTTTGTTACATTATTAATGGTTTGACCTAATATCCAGCTAATACATCTTTAAGATATTATTGTATTTGATGCAATAGAAAACCCCATCAAATTCAAAACAGTATAAATCGATAAGAAAACAAACACTAATTCGGGCGTTCTGCTCTCCCAAAATTCCATCCACTGAGCGGCGCTGTGATCAAAAAATGACACCGTTTGTTGCCCAGTTCACTTCCGGTTGATTTCATACAATGGCAAATATGGCTCACGAAAACAACAAGCGATTGACAGTGCCTGAATTGCGTCAAAGGTTGAAGCGAAAGGGTATTTGCAGTGTGGGAAAACGAAAGGAGGAATTGTTGTTGCTAGTTCAACGAGCGGATGGTGTTTATGAAGATTTAGAAGAAGATGACAGCGAGCAGAGTGAACGAAAACGGCTGTGTGTGCGAGTGACAGATGGTAACAATGAGAATGAAGTTCAGCTAAGAGGGAAGAATGTGAATTGGACGGATGATTTGCGCGATATGCCACTAGTTAGAGACTGGAATGTATTTGCATACAGAAAATGACGAAAACACTCAACCATTTAGAGAAAATGCGCCGGGCAGAGAGAACCGGAAGTTGCGAAGGCAAGTGTTACCCATAATGCAACGCAAAATTCAGTCGCTCCCCCGCCCATCGGATGGAATTTTGGGAGAGCAGAACGCCCGAATTGAATCCAATTTTGAGCTACATTTCCATTATAAAATCTAATTGGGTTTTGGAAGACAAAAATCTCTAACCTTTCAATAAAATAGTATTTGTGAGTGGAATCAATATGGCGTTATTGAATTTGTCCACAACTGTGCAAACCTTATTTCATTTCATACTTATTACTGAGACCAGTTGAGATGAACAAAGCAGAAATAGTACACAAAAATATAGGTTATACATACTATATATATTGAAATTTCACATTGCACTGCACAATCGGTTTCTAGCAATTTCACATTATATAGCGGTTCAGTCTGAAGCAGGCCTTTTTTCACTGAAAGCTTGCCTTGCCTTTTAGTGCTATTGAATTAAGAAACACATATGCATTGGAGTAATTTCTTCTTTTGAGAGCAACGTGAGCTATATACATAAAAACCTACAGGGAATCTCTGGAGCAGCACTTTGCCGCCTTAAATATATATATATTCTTTCAGTTCTGGTTAATAAATCACAGATAGAGCCTCTATACTCTCTGTCGTCTCAGCCAATATGAAGGAATTACAGGCATTACACACAACACCACGGCCCCTTAGACTAACCCTCTGTGGACTTCTAACTTGTTTCATAGCTGCCATTGACCTTCACAGCGCCCCCTGGAGAGCCCCACAAGACCCCGACCGCCTGTAATTTGTGACTTGTGTGTTTGACTTTTAAGATTGAAGTTTCCCGCAGAGTACTTGTCGGTTTATTTTATCATACCATAAGCGTCGTTTCCGTAACACCGGGTCCTTGATGTTGCAGGGCCTGTTTAAAAAGGTCATGTAATTCCGTCGTCTCTCCAGTGAGATTAAAATGTCATGGTACCGTATCGGTTTACCCATCTGGATTTCAAAGCATCTTCGAGCAACAAAAAGCATTGATTTTGGACCGTGTGAAAGGCCAGTGACACTTGCATGTTGAATATCATATTTGTGCAAAGAAAAGGCCTGTCTCCCATGTCATTCTTTAAGCTGTAATGCAGTTGTAATGCAGCAAGGGTCTGTTCTATGTCAAATTATGTTGTAATGTACAGTTATCACCAAATACGACGGTTTTCTTTGCCTGAATGGAGAAAGATGAATACAGTTTCAAACATATCAATAAATTACTCCACCCTTGAATCCGTCTTAGTGTTGGACCCTATATAAACAAGACTATACCTGTATAGTATAACAACATCTATCATCATAAGTTAATGTCCACTCCATGAACTTTCAGCGATTTGAGATGAATATATAGATACATGGGTCCATCTGTTGCGCCGTATGTAAACCAATACAATCAATAGGACTTTTTCCTTCAAGTTTTCACTTCATTCCCCAATAGTCCAGCTTCCCCATAAACCACCTTCTCTGTGGGTATGTAATGATCCAGAGGCGTTCGCAGTTCGTCCACCTCTGTAGTCAAGTGATCTGGACTCTCCCCGTTGGACGTGTCCTTTATAACGGTGTAGGTGAGAGCCAGACTGTACGTGGCTGGTTTCTCCATTCGCTGAGGTCCGCAATGGCACAACTTCTGGAAAGCAGAGCGGAACTTCTGGGACATTGCGTTGTAGATGACAGGGTTAATGGCACTGTTGAGGTAAATGCACAGGCGACAGAAGAGGAGAAACCAGGTGTCCAGGTAAGCCTCGTCCAGGAACGAGTTGACCACCACTAAAGTTCGGTAGGGCATCCACAGCAAAGCAAAGAGGATGACCACCACAGCAAGCATCTTTGTTACCTGTAAGGGTATGGGACGTTACATTATCTTCACAGAATGCATTTCAAGAAGCATTTCAAGAGCTTACACAAACATTTCAAGAAGCATGTTTCTCTTTCTTACTATTTGAATCTGCCCCATCTGCACTACGTCTTTTTAGTCTCAAATTAAAACTGAAAAGGCCAAGCTCTTGCGGGTTTCATCAGACCAACAGCGCAATTAGCAATCAACTTGGAAGCAACTAGCTTGGTCGTCACAGCGGGATACGTCTGAAATTTGATAGAAACCAGGTCACGTAAAAACCTTCAAAACTAAACACTTTCATTACGAACTTCTGAGGATGTGGACCTTTTTGCAATTTCACATCACCCATAAGCATGGCATGACTTCTAAAGCACTTGATAATGCATTATTTAACAATGTTTAAAGCCTCTGATGCTTTGCTGTTAGCTATAGGGCAGTCATGATAATTCATATATTCACTTATCATATAGAAACTGATGGATAAAACTTTATATTTTGGGCCTTGATATATATTGTCTGCACATTTTCTTTGCAAAAGTGGAAATATATTTGGGGTTGAAAAGAACTCCAGCCTGACCCTTCTGGTCTGTAAAATAGTCACATTTTGGACATTATATTGTTTTCGTTTGTGTTGTTGATTGTTTTTGTCTTTGACTAATGACCAATTAGTTGTAATGAAGGGTTAGGGTTAGGGTTACGCCATTGGGACCCCTTTGAAAGCCTCCAAACTTGTCAGACAATGCTGATATTTCCGAATAGAGTCCAGTTTTTGAACATACTCCGCATTCTTATGATTTGTAAACATAACATTTACCAGCAGGTACTGAAGGAATAATTCAATTGCTTTTTTGAACAACAGTTTTATTGGTAACTTATTTTTTTTTCCTTATCTGTGTGAATCAGTTCAGGTGATTGTTAAATTAACTTGGGGAAATGTGTCTTCTGTATTTTTTCCAGCTCTTGATGGCTCCATGACAAGAGCAGTGATCCTAGTCCAGACAGATGTGGCTTTTGAACATACAAGAAGAAGACTTGCATTTGTCTTCTTATTACAAACTCAGTAACACGGAAGCGGATTTGTACATGTTAGCAATGGTTTAATATGGCTCACACTTCCACACGTCTGTCTCGGCTGATGGATGATGATGTGTGCACCAGTGGTCTGTGTACAAACTGTGAGCTATATGTATTTATGGTCCAAAAGAACAGCGCCTAAAGTCTACTGCAGTCACTTCTTCATATCAGCCTATATACAATATCAGATGCTCAACACATGTAATATTTCATGGATACTTGTCTTCTCCTTTACATCTGTTATCTCGTTGCGTGCGTTATTATCCTTCAAAGCAATTTATCAAAGGCAACATTTCCATTAACACTAAAGCTCTAATCAAGAAAGGAATTTAGTTTGTAATTAAATCCCCCACTGTAACCATTTCACTTCAGGAGAGGTGAGTCTAATTGGATTGGCTCAGGACCCTGCTGGACATCCAAACAACCAATCCAACATCTTCATTAGTTCATGACCTTTAGATAATTCATTGAGCGATATTGCAGATGGTTTACGAGTGACTGAAATGCATGTTGTGATTGGTAAAGCAAAACAAAGCTAAATGCATGTTGGTTTGAGCTTAAATCATGTTGATAACAGCTCTGCAGCCCGGGGCAGATGTGCTGCAGCTCTGTCATTCCACCAACATCTGACTAACAAATATGCAGCTCCTCCGTGAGGCCTACACCGGTGGGAGCCGCTGTGTGGAAGCGCCACCATTATCGCAATCGCAATTGTTGTGGTTGCAATTATACGTACACATTATGTGTTTTTTGAGAATAAACAAGAGATCAAGATAAGAAAACTATACTTGAATTTGAGAAAAGATTAAAGTAAGTAATCTTTTTTTGTTTCAGCTCTTTTCACAGACCAGAGTCACAAAGCGCTTTACAATTGTTATTTTTGGGCCTTTGTCTCTCACTCCACACAGAGATGGGAGCAAGGTTGCCAAACAGGAGGCACATGTTTTTGGTGGTAGGGGAAACCGGAGCACCCAGAGGAAACCCACCCAGACACAGGGAGAACATGCAAACTCCATTCAGAATAGTACTGTACCGACCGTTATTCGGACCCAGGATCTTCTTGCTGAGAAGCGAAAGAACTATCCACTATCCACTGTAACTACTAATCGAAGAATCAGCTGTTATTATTATGTTGTATTTTAACAATTGACCAAATCAACAATAGTTAATTTGCATTTGCGTCATTAGAAATATATTTGAAAGGCATATAATTTTCCCTTTTCCAAATTACTTTTTTGAAAATATCTATTTGTGCCATAGACATACATTTAACCCCTTCTTGAGCAGTTTTACAAATGTACTGCCAATAAACACCTTGAAGATCATAAGAATACAACTTTTTGACTAATTTATAGAACGGAGCTGTCTGTTTTTGCAAAATAATACAAATACAAATAACAGGCTTTATTCGTAATGCCTTAGAGGTTATTCCAACATTGTGAGTGTTGATTGGCAGACACAGACACTTCATGACTTGTACCTGTCTGCGTGAGGCGGCCGTGGTGGAGCCGGAGGAGTTGGTGCTGACCATCCGTGCGCCATGGCAATTGCTCTCCTTCTTCCACTTCTGGGTGCTGCCTTTGGGGTCCGTGGGCAGCGGGTTGAGGTACAATATCCTCCCAATGAGCCCATATAAAACTGTGGCCAGCATGAGCGGCAACACGTAAAACACCGCAAAATCCGTAAAGTAAATGGGCAGATAGTAATTCCTGGACACTTTGTAGGCGCAGTTCAGCAGCACCACGTTGTCATAGACTAACTTGGTCGTGTCGGACAAGAACAGCCACATTACGCAGTAGGCAGATGTGAGTGCCCAAACTACCATTATAATCTTTTTGGCTCTGGATAAAGTGCACAAGAACTGGGCTTTTATGGGGTGGCATATGGCAATATAACGTTCAACTGTGAAGGCAGTGATGGAGCAAGATGATGCGTTTATTCCCAAATACTGAAAGTAAGTGATGCCCAAACAGCCTGCGTACCCATAAACCCACTCTCCATACAGTGCGTCCGTGATGTTGGGCAGTCCAGCAGCCGTCAGCACCATGAGGTCAGCCGCGGCCAAGCTCACCAGGTAACAGTTTGTGGGAGTCCGCATGTGTTTGGTGGTCAAAACTACCAAAATGACCATTACGTTACCAACTATCCCAACCCCACAGATCAGAGACACTAGGAAGATGCTGGCCACTTTGTATTCTGTTGTGTGGTCAGTCCAAACGCCCAGAGTTTGGTTCGCCGCCACAGATATGTTACTGTCCACACTCACGTTAGACATAGTGAGGTTCTCCACTGTATCCATGGTTTAGAAGATTCTCCCCAGACGTTTCAAAGCAAGCCTCTCTTCATCCTATGTCCGTGCGTAGTTTCTGTCTGTACAATCCAAAAAGACAATCCATCCAAACTTTCTTGCAATGCAATGTAAAGTCACCTTTTCTGATGTTGGTTTGAAACGTCAGCAGAGAGAGACAGAGGTGCAGTGCGCTGCAGCCTCACAGCTGACTGACTCAGGAGCAGGATTCATCCGACCCTCCCTCCCATTGCTTTCATCGCTCACTAACTATTAGGAACGAGCACGTCTTCCTCCCTATTACTCAAAGATACACAGTCCAAAATAGTATAGTTACCTTTTTCATGCAGCTTGATCAGAAGATAATATCTGTTGAATGTTGCGTTGCTTCTGTAAAACAAGTACAAACTAGCTGTAAAATCACTTCACAAAGCCCTAAGTAATCAGATCATTTATCTTTCCAATATCTAACATACATTATTGTCTGCATGTGGTTTAGACCAAAGTAGCCAAAGTTGAGAAACACTTGAAGACTATCCTGCACGTTTTTTACCCAGCCCTATAGCTCCATCTGTCGGTCAAGAGGAATTGCAGTAGTAAAATAATGAAATGGAGAATGGTAAGATAAGATAAGAGATCCTTTATTCGTCCCACAGAGGGGAAATTTAAATGTTGAAGTGTAATGAATTAAAATGATGATAATAAAATGTGTCATATACTAATTTACATTTTTAAGCTGATAACACAATTATTTACAGTTTTGGAATAAGTGGTTCAGCTCACTCTTCAGCAGCTAAAACTTGTCCTCTATTCTTACAAGACTAAATTAATGTTGTTTTCAAACACTAAAAAAGGACCTCAAACTGTCCCTGTGCTACCCACACTAGAGGGAAATGTCATAGGGATAAATACCTTGGTATCTTGCTTGATGACACCCTCACTTTCAAACAGCATATTCAGAAAAATCTGGGACTTTTCTGGTTACATAAAGGTTAAACACATTTTAAAAATCTGTCCTTTATTCCTTCTTCCTCTTCATCTTTATCTTCATCTTCTTCTTCCACAAGATTTGGGCATTTTTCGACTCTTCCACGCTTTCATCATTTTTCGTTCAGTTTCATCATCTATTGAGGGAGTATGTATCTTTAGTGGTGTTTGAAATGTTTTTACTTCAAGCTGTATTTTTTCCGATCTTTTATAATGGGGCTTTTTAAAATCTCATACACTTTGAATATTTTGTCTTTTTTGATTTATGGTTTGAATGTTTTTGAACTTTTTAGTTTAAACTTTATAGTGGTAAGTTTTTTGTAATTCTTTCATTTAGAAATTATTTCACTTTTCTGTTCTTCATAATCAAATTACTTTTGGTACTTCTACCTTTAGTATTAGCAGTATTCACAGTTCAACTAATTTTACATTTTCCTATTTTCCAATGTTTATCTGTTTTTGATCTTTTTAGAGTTACATAGTACTTTGTTTATTGTATAATGTCATAGTGTAAAAAGGGTGTAATAATTAGATGGTTTTAATTGATTTTGTTCTAATTGTTTTTGGTAGCACTTTGTTGTTGGTATGCAGTCACTCACAATGGCTTCAGCTGTTGAACAATTTCTAGTTATTACTACTACACTACACATTTAGTGCGTGAGTCACAGATTTGTCAGACTGCAGTACTGTCCCCTGAACAATACACAAGACTAAAATTAAATGTATAATTTCATTCCATTTTTGGTTGAACTGAAAAGACTCACCCATACTTGGCCTGGAGGAGAGGACTCAACCATCGCATTATACAGTAGCTACAAATTATTTATCACCTGGATTAATAAATGAGGCTCCAAGTTTTTCCCCATTTACCTTTTTTAGTTTCCAATGCGCCTCTGTAGGAAACCTGACATAGGCAGAACATGCAAACCGCTCTAACTGCTGTGCTATCTGTAGAAACTATGTCATGTCAATTTCTGTTTTGAATGTTTTTGATCTTTTGAGTGTTATGTTTTCGTTTTCTGTATGCAGCCACTTATTTCAGCCATTTCACAATTTTCGTTTTTTAATTTTTGTTTTTCTTACCTTGAGCTCAATTGGCCATCATCCCAAAATAACTGAATGATATTTGAGACCTAACCTAACCCTCAAACTACAAACAATTGAACAACGCATATTTCTATCAATCTAACAGTTCCAGGCTCTCAAAAACAGTTTGGTTGAGTTTTCACACGCAGGTATTTTGGCCTCAGACAGAAAAGTGAAAAGGAGAGGACCACTCTCACTCAGACAGCACAGTGACTCACAGGTACTGGATGGGGCTGGGTTAAGATTAAAACTGTTTTATAATAAGATAAAACAGTATATTATGCTTTCACAGAGGGTTCTTTCTTTTGGGACACACATGCATTATTTATGAAGGAAAAAAAAATAGGTATCTCAACTTTAAGAAGATAAATAGAGCCAGCATTAACAAACTGAAGTTCTGCCAACTCAAGAAGCCTTCAGTAAATGACACACATTTATGGATATTGTATGTACTTCTTCCCACTCCCTTTCGAACTTTCTTCTTTTTTTTTAGTATTTTCTTGTATTTTTTTGTGATTTTGTATTGCTTCTTTTATATATATTTTATAAATGTATTATGAACTGCCATGACGCTGGATTTGACAACAAAGTTTGAAATAAAAACCCCACTCCCATCTCTCTGTGTAGAGTGAGAGGACAAATGCCCAAAAAATGACTCTGGTCTGTGAAAGGCGGTACATAAATAAAGATTACTTACTTACTTACAAAAAAAAGATTGATTGATATTATTTAACACATTTGAATAGATTTGGGGGTGGGGGATTCATTATGTGGATTGTTTCTGTAAAACTCCATGAATTAACTTGACTTCATTTACTTTAATATTCTGTTTTTCCATTTCAAATAAAACAGAATCTATATTTGCATTTATTTGTAATCATTTTCACTTTGTCAGTTCCTGACGGACAGGAAGCAGCGAGTGCGTCTGGGGAAGAATGTCTCGGACTCTCGGATTATAAATACAGGAGCCCCACAGGGCTGTGTTCTTTCTCCCCTGCTCTTCTCCCTGTACACCAACCACTGCACCTCCAGCCACGACTCCGTGAAGCTGATCAAGTTCGCGGACGACACCACCCTCATTGGACTCATCTCCAACAACGATGAGTCCGCCTACAGGAGGGAGGTGGACCGGCTGGTGTCCTGGTGCAGTGGTAACAACCTGGAGCTGAACGCCCAGAAGACAGTGGAGATGATTGTGGACTTCAGGAAGAGCACTGTCCCCCCGCCCCCACCCTCCGTGATGGACTCCCCCATCACCTCTGTGGAGTCCTTCCGTTTCCTGGGCACCACCATCACCCAGGACCTCAAGTGGGAGCCGACCATCAGCTCTCTCATCAAGAAGGCCCAGCAGAGGATGTACTTCCTGCGGCAGCTCAGGAAAGCCAAGCTGCCTGCACAGATGTTGGTGCAGTTCTACACGGCCATCATCGAGTCCATCCTCACCTCCTCCATCACCGTGTGGTTCGCTGGAGCCACAGTCAGGGACAAACAGAGACTACAGCGCATTGTGCGCTCTGCAGAGGAAGTGATCGGCCGCAGCCTTCCATCGCTGCAGGACCTGTACGTCGCCCGAGCTCGAGGCCGGGCTGGTCGTATCACAGCCGACCCCTCTCACCCTGCACATGGACTATTCCAACCACTCCCCTCAGGCAGGAGGCTGCGGTCCATCAGGACTAGAACCTCCCGCCACAAGAACAGTTTCTTCCCCTCTGCTGTTGGACTCTTGAACACTTCTTAACCTGTCCCCCCGCCCTTTATAAAGTCACTTTACTGCCCATCATACGTCACTTTACTTCACTGTACTGCTGTCACCTTACATTGTGTGCACCATGTGCACTTGTATATTGTAAATAGTAACTGTAACTCTATTTTAAATTTAAATTTATTCTTTAGAAGTGTTTTTTATTCTTATTTTTATTATCTCTTTTTGACTGTTGCACTGAGCCAAAGCAATTTCCAAGTCTGTGACCTCCCGTTACTTACGTTGGCAATAAAAATGATTCTGATTCTGATTCTGAAGTGCTGCTATTGGCAGACTACTCGCAGCTTGGCATGTCTTTTTGGCTTACCCAACGTTCTCTCATTTAGTGGAATGAGAAAATGCATCTAATTTAGACTAAATGTCCAGAGTGTCCATACTCTTTAAGTTCAGTGGGTTGACTTGATAAATATGGTTCTCATTTGAAAACACAACAGTAATAATGTGTTTTTACAGGTCAAACTTAGTATCAGCTTTTATTCAAATGTGTTTACTCAGACAGAACTTAATAAAGGGTCCATAGAGAAAAGAGATCATGATTTAATGTTATGTAACCAGACAATACAGAATAATTCAGATATTTGTAACACAGCTCTGATAAATGAAATGAAGGGTAGAAGCAAATGAAATAAATAATAATTAATGAACTATGAGCTTGTTAAAGGGTTTTTGCTTATTGTGCTGCTGCGGAAGATAAGCCACAGCTCTGCACAAAAGAATGATAAGACTAAAACTGCATTGTCATTCTTTTTCATCTCTATGCAACTATGTTTGAAGTCTGACTTGATGGTTGCGTGCCAGATATCTCAAACAAACGAGGGAGAGTCTGTAGACTTTCTTATGAATAAAACACAGTGTCCTCACATGCCCCTTCTCTGTTGCCGAAAAGACCAGACTGAAAAGACTTTCTATATTTGTCTCTGCATCACAAAACATTTCAGGGCTCATATTGTCTTCATATATTACCACTTTGCATTTTTAATTGTTCATATTTTAGAAACCGCTATACTTTAGAAATGTTTTATTATGCCTTATTCTTTCTCTACTTTTGACTTGTTTGCACTGAGAGCCTAGTCTGTGACATCCTGTTACTTACACAACAATAAATTGATTCTGATTCTGATTAGAAGAACTTTTCACAACACTAAATCCCAACATAACATGCAGAACCCCCATCAGCCCCATTAACAGTCTCCATAATGAAATGTCATATTATTCAGTTTTCAACAGTGAAATTTGCACCTATTTTCATAATCCATTGTGATGAGTGTTCATTTTGTTTGACATCATGCATGTGCTTTAAATATTTTCACATTTATTCTACATCACTGTGTCGGGAAACTAATGACTGAATTATGAAACGTTGTCTATTTGCAAATTTGACCTAAATTTAAATCTCAGGCTCATTGCATTTGTTGTGAGGCTGTCTTTCCTCTTCAGTCCCATTCAGCTTCCATAATCTGCTCTATGTTGGGCACATGCGGGTGCCGGCGGCTGCAGGCTCCTCTCTGCTCACTTCCTCTCTCCTCTGTGCTGTCCTTGCCAACAGGAGAAGTGCTCTGTAGCAGATATGAGAGTTGGCTGCTGATGTCACGTTCACTCACCTTTTATGTTTAAGCTCAAGGCCAATGCTTGAAGTGCTTTGAAACTGCAAATTGTTCATCAATGGAAGAGAACTCCGCTTTCCTCTTTATTCATCTCTAAAGTGGAATATATTTGGTGTCTCCTTTGTTTCTCTGCATCTGTCCCCACTCATCTGTTAAATGGACTCTTGGTTGGAGATGTGCCAAAGTCATCCAGGCACTTATGAATTGAAAGGAAAAAAAAAAAGTCTCCATACTGTGTATTTTTGCTGCCTGGTTGTTCAACGTTTTCTCTGAGCAGAGCCACTCATGAGCGTTGCAAACATTACAATGAATGATAATTATACATACATGACTAAAATATGACGTAAAATATGAAAACAAAGAAACTCTGATGATGTGTTGTGGATATTGAAACAACACATCATCATAGGGTAAACTAACCTGTCTCACGACGGTCTGATACAATCATGATTATTGGTCGTGGGAACAGCTAAGCGCTCCTAGAGGCGCCTCTACCTGAGCTTTAGGAGAGTAGCAACAGTTACTAAGGCCTTATTTGTACTGTTTCAAATATTTGGTCAATAGATCAGAAGAGCTCTGTCAACATCTGCAGGATAAGGATTAGACTAGCTTTGACAAGTGACCACTTGTAATCTTCTGTCAAACATAGCAGCAGATGGTGCAGAACACACTGGCTTTTACTCATGTTGTCATCACATGACTGAGGTCGTTTACAAAGGAGGACACTTTTCACTCTTGAGAGACACCAGGCTCTATTTTATATCACCTGGTAAATCTGCGGAATTTAATATTGAGTCCAACAAATACGTTCACCTCTTTGTAAATGTATTTCTATATTTCACAACTATTATGTATTAATGAGTACCACGAGACATTCCTGGCTGCATCATGAGGTCTATTGAATATTATTATAGACCTATGTGCCTAATATGTCCCAATGGTTCAATGTTTAACTTGAATAACCTGCACTTTATTGCACTCTAATGATTTTTAAGCGTCCAGGTGTGAGTTTATTGCATTCTTCTACATATAGCCTAGCCCTATTTCTGATCTCCAGTGACCTACTAACAGCAGCGGTCCCAGCTTTATGTTCTAAGATGGCTCCAGGGGGAAATCCAGCACTGCCCGTAATATGTGGACGTGAGATTCCCAGACGCTCTGCACTCAGCTCTTGGGTCTTGTCCATCCTGCTCTCGACTTGATGCTGACCACAATCTGCGCCCGGACAGCGGCAGAGGAGCGTCGTGTGGGCGGGACCTTTACGCAGGAGGAGAGAGCTTCCTTAAACGCACCCCGCTCTCCTCGGCACCGAAGAAGCTGCAGCGGAGGAGGATGCTGGGCGAAATGTGTCTTGCTGTGCTGCAAAACGGGCAGGAATCATAGCATCCTCTGGCGAGAACAGCTCACATGGCGCATGGAGAAGGACGCGCTCAAAAGCAGGGAGGATGCTGCAGCTCCGGTGAGAATATAAAACGTGTTGGCTTTGCGCATGCACCCAGGGAGCCCTTTAACAAGAAACTATTTAGCTTTTTACATTTAGCAAGGAGCCGAAACAAATCAGCTAGGCCTAAGTTATTACCATGGCTCTAAAATAACAATAATATAGTATGAGGTTATGACCAGAGACTGTATGGACTTGTAAATCCAAATTTTTTTTTTTTTTTTTTTTTTTTTTTTTTATTGCTTGGCGAAGAATTGAGGAGATGCTTGCAATATTTCTTGATGTGAGCACTGGTTTCGCTTTTAGTCATTTGACAAAACATTGTTTAATTGTTCACTTTTCTTATTCGTGTTTGATGAATGAGCAATCTTGTGAAGTTATTTTGAGATGACTGTTGCTGTTGTGATTTTGTACGATAAAATGACTGTAAAATATATGCAGTTGAACTTTTTTAATTTAAATACACGTTTTCCTACATTTTTTGCATTCCTGAATCACAACAGCAGTGGTCTCAGAAGACTTTACAAAATTGTCAATTATCCAAAAACTGAGTGTATGGATTAATAATAATATATACAAATCTAACCACAAGAAATGCAATAATAAAAACATACAAGAGCCATTGTTCCATAGGGTAGGAGGACAACAAATGTGTCCAGATAATTCATAATTACTAATTCAGGAGCGGAAAAAAAGGCTTATAGATGGACGTATCCATGGAGAGAAACTCACCAGATTTTGTCGAATGATGTTATAACATATCCAAAAACAAGCTTCAGTTTTATTTCTCCCTAAAATAAAGTGGATTTGTCAATATCATCCTGATAGCATTAAGACTGGGGTACTCTTTTTGCATATTCCTCAATCACAATAGCTGTCATCTCGGAGGACTTTACAAAATTGTCAATTATCCAACAACAGATTATAGAACATAACAAATGGAACACAAGAAATGCAATAATGAAAGCAAATGAGAGTCACTGTTCCGTAGGGCAGCAGGATAACCGACGTGTATACAGATATATCAGTTCAAAATCCCTTTCATAGTTAATCTTTGCATAACTTTGTATCTTCTTTCTTGTATGCTCCCTCCCGCCCAGTGTATAAGGATGCATCGGAGTGTGAGCTGCAGAAGTTAAGCCAATGAAGAACTATGGCTTCTACAACCACCATCACCCGCACAACAGCAGCAGCAGCAGCAGCAGCAGGACCGGACATACATCCCCCACGTGACGAGAGGAAACAACCTGATCCTCCCCACGTCCTTGAGCATATGTCAGGCTCCAAGCTCATGTGTAAACCGGCCATGTCCACTGGAACTATCCCAGGGGAGGGCGGATGCAACGTGCCCCGCAGTTGTAACCACGTCCGGTGTCATTCACTCACAAGGACGAGGAAGCCCGGAGGTGCGGAAGTAAAGGGGTTTTGCGATGGCGAATTGGAGACGTCGTTCACGCGCGTCGACGAGAACGTGAATCTGCGAGTGACCAGCCCAGAGACGATTTGTAAAAGCACGCACAGAACACGTAATGGCGAACCATGCTCAGAGACAATAGCAGATTTCTCCTTTATGTCCGAGGACGATTTGTCGTTCGGGGACAGCTCCGGGAATTCCATAGACTACGGTTTTATCAGCGCGGTTACTTTTTTGGTGACCGGTATCTCTCTGGTGATCATTTCCTACGCGGTTCCAAGAGAAGTTGAGGTGGATCGCGACACGGTGTCAGCCAGAGAGATGGAAAAGTTGGAGATGGAGAGCGCACGGATAGGAGCCCACCTGGACCGCTGCGTGATCGCCGGGCTTTGTCTGCTGACTCTGGGGGGAGTGGTGCTGTCCACGCTGCTCATGATCTCTATGTGGAAAGGGGAGATGTACAGGAGAAAAGTCATAGCCTATTCCAAACGAACGGCCAAACTTTACGGATCCATCAGCCTCAAGACGAGATCCAGTCCAAGTCACTCATCGGTGCAGGTTTCGATTGATGAACTGGATGAAACTATAGCCTGAAATCTATGCAGCGTTTCGTGGCATACAACCTCATTAAAGGCTTAACTCAATACAAAATACTCATCACGCAAAAGCGATGTGAAAAAAAAAGAATATTAACATGTTAGTAAGATGTGGGGAAAGTACTGGATGTGTCTAATGTATTTGGTCTTCACAAGGGATGTGACGTATTGTTGACATTTCCACAGGACTCACTGATATCTTGGTATTTCGTCCCGGGCTGAGGGAAGTGTAAAAATGTTGTTACTATTTTTACTCTTTTTCAAGATTCAAGAATATATTAGCCATTAGCACTCTGAGGTTTCCCTGAAATGTAAAGTGCATTATAAATAACATTTATTATTATTATTATTATTTGCAGTAAAAGCACATTGGAAAAACTGTGCAAGAGTACCCCAGCACCAGGATGGTACACACCAGAGCTCTTTTTTCCTGCGCCATGCAAGTCTTGAGTCTTCCTGAGTCTCAATCATGCAATGAATTAACACTGGGGTAGTCTTTCACAGTTATTTCAATGTGGTTTACTGAAAATGCCAAATAAGGAACAGTTTATTTGGTTAAGGTTTGGGGATAAGCTCATAGCGGAGCAAAATACCAATATTTTAGTATGATTATCATGACCAAAAAACCGCATTGCAAATGTTTTATCATGCATCTTTAAAATAAAAGTGATAATTGCTCCCTTATTGATTACTCTACAACTGTCAAGATAATTAGCAATTGATTTTGAAAGAAATTCAGGTGGAAAAAATCTCTAAAAAGCTCCATACAACAGGACGGCAACTCACCAGATCTTCACTAAGGATGTTGTCCATGACATGAGAGGCTTATAATGTGTCCAAAAATATCCTTCAGTTTGACAATATAATTCCGACAGTATTAAGACTGGAGTACCCCACTCTTTTCATAAATATTATATGGTGAACACAAATTTTAAAAGAAATATGTTCAAACCAAACAGACCACAACATATTATTATATTTGCCATACTTATTAGAAACTAGACGAGAGAGTCCCTTTCTTTTCAATCTTTCTGTCTGAAAAATCTTATTTAAAGATGTGACAGAGGCCAAGAAATATGCATGCGAAGTCTATTTGAGAGCAAGGAACCAGTTACATGGATTTTATGATATTGATCTGTTGTTGTGGCTTTAAAAATAGGTACTCCAGCTTTAATGTCCGTCCTAATTGAAAATGATTGATATTGTGATACTTGAAAAACACAGTCTAATATCGTTCCATCCCTTGTGAAAATGACACAATCAAGTACAAATCATGCGTTTCTTGTACCGTCTTCATAACAATTCTCCATTGTGATATCTTACTATTATTTTTAACAGATTTATACTTCAAGGCATCAAAAAACGACAGCTAGTTTGCACTGGACAGTAGATCCAAAGAGGCTTAGCGGGGTCACAGACAGTGCTGCTCATATTTTAATTAATTCTGGTTGTGGGAGTCTCCATTCATTATTAAGGGGTTGTTTCCGACAGTAAATTTGCCCACAGATGGACACGTTGCTGGAAGCGTGTCCCTGTGGAGCTGGGAGAGAGTGTTGTGTCCTCTGCAGAGAGTCTGGGGAGGTGAAGCTCGATGGTCCACGTGGTAATATCCTGTGACAATCGTGTTCTGGTGCAGTGCTGAGGTAAGCCATAAGTCCCAGATAGTAGGACCTTATTATTCAGCGCTGTATTGCTGACACAAGCGGCCTAGTTTACCTTACTTTTACCTTCTTTGTGGTATATCTTTGTACTAAAAAGGCTAAGAACATTGGTGTTTGCTGTATTCTTGTATGAATGACCTGTGTATCGCTTACTAAAAAAGAAAAAAATACAGGTAAAAAATTAGCAGCAGTTGAAGTTATACAGTTTAGGGTGGTCATGCCTGTTTTCACTAATCGAATTGTAAGAAAGGACAATAATCTCTTCTCTGACTTTGCGTATGTGGGAGCTACACACTGCTTCCGACAATCACGGTTCAATAATATAGACATAGATGTATAGGATTTACACCGGATGCCTTTACTAATTTGTGCAGAGCTATTGGCGTATAGGTTTGCAGGCTGCTAATCCAACTGGTCAATTAATAAGGACTACATTTACACTATTACCATGCAAAAATAATAACTGTCCATATAACACACACATGGCTTATTATCAGAGCATGTACGTATTGGATTTGCTTTACGTTTTTGCAGATTTAATGTCACACCTAATATCGCACTAAGAGTTACCCCACTCTCTGCTCTCAAAATGTGTTGGCCTTAATTTCTTTTCAAACAAAACTTGTAAAATCAGAGGTCAAAACGAATCAGCTTCCTTTTTCGTTAAGTACCGTTGGCGGCTACGTGCAATTGAAATGATGTCTTATGCAGAAATACCAATAAAGGACTATTTTCAGTGTGATTCATATGTAAGATGGACAAAGTGTGTGTGGTTCAGAGTGTGTAGTGTTATGTCTGATTGTTAACTCAAAACCAAGGTCTATTGTGATTTTTTTTTTAGCTTAGTTTTTATTCATAGACATAAGTGATACATTTCACACTGTAATGAAACACTAACCGAAGACATTTCCAGGAACACAGGTAATAAAAATTAATGATCCGAATGAGGCAATGTTGTCCTCTTCTCTTTGGTAAAGCTGTAAATCCACATCCTCTGTTAGGCAGCAATATTTCTTTCATTTAGTAAGCTTTTGTTGGCCATAGAAGTAACACACGAGCCCAGTCACAGGACATGTCTCTGCCCACTTCTTGTTAATATCCAACTGTAAAAGTAAATCTTGAGTTGAATGTTGAATTTAATATGCTGTTGAGCTTAGAAACAGGATTTGATGTAATCTTTTTTACTTGAAACTTACAAACTAAATTTTTTTCACCCATAGGAAAATGTCTCGCCTGCATTTGACCCTCAAAGCCACTGAGCTAACCTGTCAGGAGTAGTCGTTGCTACAGGGGACTCATCTCCAGATGTCAATGCTCGGCAGGACCTGTGGAAAACCGGAGCGCCTGGAGGGAACCCAGACACAATGAGAAACATGCAAACTCCACACAGTTTTAATCCACAACTGTTTTCAATTTACAATCTTCATTTAGATGCCTTTTTGGTGCTGACTGACTGTTATTTTAGTACATCACTTAAAACTACTTCCTCACTCCAGTATATTCTAACCCATTACCTTCTTGCAATAGCAGGCACAGAAACCATCATGATGACTCTCACACATCTCACCTGTGATCACAAGCCTCCAACATGTCACAGGGATGTGGCTTGTTTTCTCTGAGACTGTTTTTTTGGTGTCATTGTCATCTGTCAACTAAACAAAGTGACAGCTAAATCTGAGATATTTCTTCCATCGTTCGACTCTGAATGTATTCCCAGGGGCTTCTTGCATAAGCTCTTTATCCTTGACTGGTATATGACGTTGTCGCTGCTGTCTTATTGATATTTTTCTTTGAATCTGCATAAGCCAATCCCTTCAGGTTTAAGCAGGGAACGGATGAGCTGCTGCCTCGCTCTTATTTCTCCACAGGTGTTGATTCCCTCCCCCACAGTAAGACACTGCATAGAAGAGACTTTAATGATGTTTTCTCTGCTACATGTTTAAAATGTATACAGATAGTAGAGTGGAATAACAAAAAAAGTAGAATTATGTAATGACATGCAATAATCATAATATTTTGAGTGGCATTGGAAAGAGTACATTTTGGCAGCATGGTGGTGCAGTGGTTAGCGCTTGTGCCTAACAGCAAGAAGGTCCTGTGTTAGATCCCACCTCCAGGCTTTTTTGTATGGAGTTTGCACCATTTACCATATGCATGACTGTCACTTTTACCTTCCAGGCCCATCACCAGTTCCTCTCTGAGCTCTTAGTATTTTTTGAGCTATTCATGCTCATTTTTCCTGATGTTACCAACGCTTGGAATTACCACGTCCACCACCACGGCTTACCTCTGCTCTTTGTCCACAACAATGTCAGGTTGGTTTGCCGTTACCTTTTGGTCAGTCTGTATCTGGAAGTCCCACAGGATCTTCGCACACTCGTTCTCCACCACCTTTGGAGGAGTTTCCCACTTAGACCTTGGGGTTTCCAGCCCATACCCTGCACAGATGTTTCTGTACACTATGCCAGCCACTTGGTTATGGCGTTCCATGTAGGCCTTCCCTGCCAGCATCTTGTACCCTGCAGTTGTGTGTTGTGTGTGTCTCAGGTGCCTCTTTGCACAACCGACACCTTGGGTCTTGTTTGGTGTGGTATATCTGGGCCTCTATCGCTCTGGTGCTCAGGGCCTGCTCCTGTGCAGCCATGATGAGTGCCTTTGTGCTGTCCTGTAGGCCTGCCCTTTCTTGGCATTAGTAGCACTTCTTGAAATCAGCCAGTTATCTGTCTTTGAATATGACAAACCAGAATGGGATGTAGAATGATTAAAAATGTTAATATGTCTAAACAAGATGGACTGGGGAGTTTTATATCTATAGTATGTATGGAGCACCAATCAGAAAGCAGAACGAGCCTCTTGTTTTGCAGGATCCGATGGGTTTGCTCTCTACCTAATAAACCTCAGCATCAGCAGCACATATCAGCTCGAGCGGCAGCAGCTTGAACCCTCAAATCAATTAAACATACACACACACACACACACACACACACACACACACGTACACATAATACCACACACACAAATCACGATTTTCCAATAAAGCAACCCAACTGTTGAACTTGGCTGTGGCCAAATCACTTTGTCGGCCACCATGACAATGACTCTCTGCAAATGGCAAATAAATGAATCTGAATCTGAATCATGACACATGAGGAAATGAAGTGATAGCACGGATCAGTCTTACAGTAAAAACCATTCCATACTTCTTATTCTCTATTGTCTGTTCATAGCGAAAGGGTTACGGCCTAGTCAATGATAATATTTTCATTGAGCTTCTATTGCAATACACCAGAGGACTTCTTCACCTTTTTTATTACCACAACTGTTCAGACTGTAGTGC